ACATGAAGCGAACGTAGGACTGCTTTTTTTCTTTTATGCTGAAAGTAGTTAACCCCTGATTAGAGCGTCAATTCGATCCAAGGGGGAAAGTTATGTTTTCAAACTCACCAAAGAAAATCTGGATGCCGTCGTCTTGAACTACCCGCTGATGAAAGAGAGGCTTCAAGAAGAAGCCACAGAAAGGTTCGCCCTGTTCAAAGCGCGCACTCAGAAGAAGGAAGGAAGCTGTTCATCTGTGCCTGATCAATTTGACGTTGAGGTTGGAGAAAATGCTCTGGCAAAGGTATCACCAACTACCTCGCAAAATCCGCAAAATTTTATTTTCTTAATTTTTGTACTTTCAGCTGAGCATCTTTCATGGAGTTGACTTATCTGTTATTCAAGAATTGGCGATAACTATGCTGAGAAAAACCTGGAATACAGACGAAACTATTATCAAGTGTGGTGAAAACGGAGACAGCATGTTTTTCCTAGGTTCAAAAAAATGTGACTAAAAACCTGCAATTTAACGGCAATTGTTCCTTAGCTGCCGGAACTGCAAATGTAATTACCGAGTTCGGAGAAGTTATTGATGACGTTTCCGGTTGGTGGTGTTATTTAGATATTATCGATCGCTGAACCCACATGTAAAAAAGGTCCTTCTGCATATTTCGGAGAAGTTGCTATTATTGAAGATGTAAACTGATATACGTTAGTTGTGAAGTCTTTTTGCTTACCACTTTCGCAGGTTCCACGAACTGCAACAATCCGATGTACATCAGAATGCAGTACATATGAATTGAGAAAGGATGAAGTAAAGGCAGTTATGGACAAGTACCCAGAAATAGCCCTTCAGATTAAGGCGACTGCAGATCATCGAATGCAAAAGGTTTGCGATGTTATGGACCATTTATCGATTGTGCTAAAAACGCTCAACTATTTTCAGTACTTGATGAGAAATGTTTTAGCTTGATTTGAATAAAATTGGAGTTTTTTTTTCGCACTTTTCCAACAACATGTTGAGAGCCCGGCTTCTTGGGGCTCGAATGTATTCACATGGCCGCAAGGGCCCCCATCATGTCTATGCCTCGAAAGTTGAAAAGGGAATCTTGAGAGAGGACAAGCACCAGCTTAAAACAGTTGGACATCTTCAGAATCTTCACGACACTCTGAGCTCTCACGTGGGCCCAGCACCCGTCAAAGTCGACTATGCCGATGCAGACCCCCGAGGACCTCATCTCGTTGGATTAGAGCAGCTTGATGCCGAAGCAAATATCTTTAAATCCTTCATGGACTTGTTTTCCGGCGGCGGCGGAGCCAAAAAGAAGAAACCTGCTGTCGCCAGAGCACCTGCATTCGGGCCAAAAGGACTTTATCTCCACGGAGATGTTGGAACGGGAAAGACAATGACAATGGACCTCTTTTATCATACTTTGGACGTTCCTCGAAAAAAAAGAGTGCACTTCCACGCCTTTATGCAAGATGTGCACAGACGAGTTCACCAGTTGCGAAAAGACAAGGGCGTGTCCTATGATCCCACGCCATTAATTGCGCAAGAGTTGGCGAATGAGGCATGGGTTTTATGCTTTGATGAGCTGCAAGTGACAGATATTGCGGATGCTATGCTATTACGACGACTATTTCAAGAGCTTTATGAAAGAGGCGTTGTAACGGTTGTAACATCAAACAGACCTCCTGATGGTAGGATGCGGTATTGCGTCATCAATGCTAAATTTGAAATCAGAGCTATACAAGAATGGAATCCAACGCAAGAGTTTCCTTCCGACAATTGAATTGCTCAAGTCTCAAAACATTGTCCATCCTCTAGACTCTGGGATCGACTACAGACAACAGGCGAAAGGAGATGAGAGGGTGTTTTTCCATCCATTGGGCCCTGACACAACTGCCTCAATCAACTCTATATGGGCTTCAATAACGAAAGGAAAGACAGGTGTGGCTATTTCGAAATGATACTTGTATAACTTATATGTGGTTTTTTTCAAACAAGTTGAACCAAAGACGTTGTCGTTTTTGGGGAGGTCCATCACTATTCCAGAAACTTGCGAAAAAAGTGCAAAGGCATCTTTCAAGCTTTTGTGTGGTGCATCCCACTCTGCCGCAGATTTTCTTGAAGTTGCATCTCACTTCACAACACTTGTGTTAACTGACGTGCCGAAAATGTCCCTGACTCAGCGCAATGAAGCTCGCCGTTTTATTACTTTAATTGACGCTCTATATGAGAGCAAAGTCAAGTTCTACATGTCCAGCGAAGTTGAAGCAAGTCTCTTGCTTGTGGGCGATTCCGATGCCACCAACTTGGACAAGAAAAAGGAACGCGAGCTCACTCCAGCCGAAAGATTGTTGATGGATGATTTGAAGATAACAGCCGACCAAGTAAGTGTATCGTTGTTGTGATTGCGTGACGTGGGCTGATAAGTGTTTGCTTTGCTATTTTCAGTTAACGAGCTCCATCTTTACTGGGGCTGAGGAGTCATTTGCATTCCAGCGAGCTGTGTCGCGTCTTGTTGAGATGCAGGGCGCCAACTGGGCTAAATAATAAGAATACTCGAAATAAACTCATTTCTTCATTTCAATAATATTAAATACGCAGACGGAAATGAGCAACGACAAGACGGTGTTTGAGTCGCCGGCCGTCTCGCAGACGCTGCTGAGCCAGGACGACGGCGACGACGCCAAGTCGCCGCTGCGGCGCAGCGACAACTCGGACGACTTTGACGGCGACGCCGACGCCGACGCAGCCGCGGCCGCAGCCGCCGACGCCGCGGCCGCCGAGAAGCGGCGCCGCGCGGCGCAGGACGCCGCCGACCGCGCGCGCGCCGGCTTCGCGATCGGCTTCGCGGAGGACCGCAACAAGCGCCACCGCCGCACCATGGAGGACGCCCACACGTACGTGTACCGCTTCGGCGCCGTCGACGGCCAGGGTGCGTGTGCTGTGCGTGCGTGCGCGCGTCGTGATTAAACATCTACCCGCGCAGGCTTCTTTGCCATCTTCGACGGCCACGCCGGAAAGACCGCCGCCGAGTGGTGCGGCGTCAATCTGCACAAAGTATATCGATTGATGGGCGGAGTACGCAACAACAACAACTCATGATCCCCTTCTAGACGCTGAACGACCTGATTGTGGAAAAACCAACTACCCCGATTCCAGAGCTTTTAAATGAGGCCTTTGTTCGAACTGATGCGCAATTGGCTTCTCGAAAGCTGTCATCTGGGTGCACAGCAATAGTTGCATTTACGAGGATAGAGACGCGTGGGGGCGAAAGGAAGGTGATTCAAATCCACACATTTTCGTTGATCCGATATTCAAAACCCGGGCCTTTTACATCTCAGCGAGTTTTATATACCGCAAATGTTGGCGACGCTCGAGCTGTTTTGAGGTGCGATCTTTGTGCAAAAGGTTTTTTTGTCAACTTGCACATATTGACACATCACCACAGTCGAAATGGAAAAGCTCTTCGACTTTCATACGATCATAAAGGAACAGACCCGCATGAAACACAGCGTATTATGGAGTCGGGTGGATTTGTTGTTAACGGACGTGTCAATGGTAACACAAGCTTCCATCGTATTATCAAGCTCAATTCGTCTGTGTAGGGGTTTTGGCTGTAACTCGTGCTTTGGGTGACGTTACAATGAAGGATTACATATTGGGGAATCCATATACCACAGAAACTGTTCTGTCTGAAACTGATGATTTATTAATTTTGGCCTGTGATGGGGTTTGTTTCCTCAATGTCGTCATCATATGATATGAAATTGACCTTTTGTTTCATTTTGTCACTGTTAGGTATGGGATGTTTGTACCGATCAAGATGCCATCACCTTTGTCAATGACAGTAGTCGTTCGGACGTGCAAACAGCTAGTGACGACCTTTTGGAATACGCACTGGAGAAGTTTTCAACCGATAATTTGAGTGTGATGGTTGTGAGGTTTTCAAATGTCCTTCCTTGATAAAATAAATAAAAACCAAGAAACACCCCCCAAAAAAATGAGCTCATACCACGATTTGGACGACCCGCGGAACGGCCGCTCGAGCAGAGGCTATGAGCGCACACGCTCGAGGTCGCCGCCGCGAGGAGTTAGAGACTACAATCGAGACCGAGAATATCGAGACGTTGGGCGTGGGGAGCGACGAGGTTGAATTTGGATTTGCGCAGTTCTTGCTTGTCCATTGCTAAATAACCGTCCAACCTGGCTCCTACCCCCGCCTCAACAAACCGACTTTACAGATGACTATTATAACCGAGAATCGCGACGCGAACCAGATCGCGGCGGGAGGGGTGGGAGAGATGGATACGGGGGCGGTCGCGAGAGCTACGGTCGCGGGCGTTACGAAGACGAAAGAAATGACAGAGGGCGCTATGAAGATGAAAGAAATCGTTATGACGATGAGCGCGCCCGCGATAGAGATTCGGGGTCTGGGCGAGGTGACCGGGACCGAAGGCGAGGCGAGCATGAAAGGACTGACAGACAGGGCGATAGGGACAGCAGGCGTGGGCGAGAACACAGCAGGAGTGTATCGTACGTATTGTATGATTGTTTGTTAACTTCTCTTAATCTTTGGAATTGTTTTAGGCCGGATAATGTTCCTGTGGACGCGAATGTTTCAAAGGATGATGAGACAGCATCTGGAGAATTAACTGAGGAGCAGATTATGCAGAAAATGTTGGGCTTTGGCGGATTTGAGACTACAAAGGTGAGTTTTTTTTGGTGGAACAGGATGTCATCTAAAATTCCAAATGCTTTATGTAAAAGAACAAAAAAGTTGCAGGCACTGATGTGAGTGCTGTGAATATCGAGAAAAAGCGAACTTATAGGCAATATATGAATCGTCGTGGAGGATTTAATCGTAACCTGAGTCCAACTCGGTAGCTAATAAAATCTATTTCAGTATTGTCAAATTTACATAGCTGTTATCATCTTTTTTATTTTGCTATCGTGTTTAAAAGTCTACAATGGTCTGATTGAATATAGTTGTAAGTTGATCTATAGCCATCAGTCCCAGATAGTATAGTGGCCAGTATCCGCCCCTGTCACGGGCGAGACCGGGGTTCAATTCCCCGTCTGGGAGCATTTTTCACTTCCTTCCCTACCATTACATTGCATTCAGACCAAATGAATTTTGGTTCTATTTCAAAAAGTACTGTGGCCGATCATTTGTTATTCAGAGTTTTTCAATTGTTGCTGCACAAACAATATGGTAGTCTCCATATGTTCCGTTCCAAATGAACGAGATGCCTCAATCAAAGAAGATGGTGGAGATTCCAACCTCAATTGCTCCTGTGTATGGAGATTGAGAAATTTCTGGACAGTATTCTTTGCAGTTGCTGGAATCTTGCAATCCAAGTTGCACTAACAATTGATTCCTTGCCTTCTGCTTTCTTCTTGGCCCTTTTCTCTTGCCAATTCAGATGCATAGAGTGGATCTATTTGCTCCTCATCATCCAAGGCTGGATCTGGTTCATTCAATAGACATGTGGCGGGTTTATGTTTTTGATGGGGTGGCCCTTGGATATAAACCTAAGAAAACTTATGTGAATAGCAAACACAGATTGATAAAATAAAGAAATAATTAAAATATACTATTTACCGGAAATGGGTCAAGGAAGAGACAATGATTTTCAAGACTTATACTCTGCAGATGCTCTTTTTGTTGTGTCTGTTTTGAGGCTCTGGAAACAGTCAAACAAGCACTTGCGGGTCTTGATTAGGTTTAACTCCTCTAACGTCTCTTGATCCAATCCAGTTGATGCACGTAAGCACCCAACAACAAAGTTCCATGACAGTTTTTATTCTTCTGATTACTTACACGTCTAACTGAAATATGGAAATTGAATATTCTGATGAATTGTTTAAATGGAATTTATTTGAAATCTAATAAAAGAATTGTGTCTGGACGTGGCAAATCAAAAAACACCACCACCCAAGATCATGTCAGCATCCAAAAACACGAAGAAGCCTAGCACAACAAAGTCAACCAGCCCAATTAAGAAACCTATATTTGATGACGTTATTCTCAGTCTCCACATAGACCCTCAGAAATTTCATTTGTTTAGCTTCATGCTTTATAGTGAGAGTATCCCGTATGGTATTTGAAGGAATCAATGCGCGTGTTGGCAAAAATTCAAACTTGTTTCTGAGAGCCTCTTTGAGCCTTCTTTTGAATTTTTCCAAGTCTGTTACAGCTGTGTTGTCTCCCTGAAGCCTTCTAGATTTGAAGGTACCCAGATATGTCAAGAGGTAGGAAAAGTACGGTGCTAGTAATCCAAGCTTGTTTCCTCCTTTGGTAGCCAATATCCTAGCAATACGACTCTCATCCATTGTAATGAACTCTTCCAGTTTGGAATTATAGTCATTCACTACACTACCTGAAGTATACTTGACAATTTGGAATGGTGGATTATTCTTTGGGTCTACCAGTCTAGATATAGCCACTTTAGAAAGGTCCAATGTTCTGAGCATGCGGGGATGATGTTCAGGGAATCTTCTCGCCAGCAGTTTCACCAGCTCTTGTATTACTTCCTTCTCACTTCTGTGGTTCAAAGATACTGACGTGTTGTCATCATCATCTGCTGAAGGGTCATATGTTCCATTAGCCACATCAAAAGCATGGTCCACAATATCAGGTGCTACATGGGCCAGTGCTGCCTGAAAGCCTGTGGTTCTGGGCAACCTGGCTTTTCTTGTGACTTGGGTATTGTACTTTGGCATAAATGACAATAGCATCGCCCCAAAAGGCACCCTTAATCTCCCAAGTGTAACACCCCCAGGATTCATTAAATATTCAATGATTGGAAACGACCTGCGGTGGAGGGCACCAAATTCCTGGACTTTTCTGTAATAGAACCCCAAAGTTGCTTTGTCCATATTCCCTCCATAATATGTTCCTGGAGGCTGGGACACCAAGCTAATGACTTCTGAATGAAGCCAACATGCAACTTCATGGTGGAACTTTTCAAGTTGAGGGTTCTTTTTCACTGCCTCTCTTATCAGTTTGGCGGCAGTTCTGAGAGCCCTCATATGGGTGATAATATACCGGATGACAGTTTCTGTTTCTGCAACAAAAAATAGGTGTCTCCTCGCAGTCCTGTCCAATCTGTCAATGTTATTTTTGAAGTCTTCAAGTATCTGGCCAATGGCTTCAGCAGGTGCCCTCACTTCTAGCCTGTATCCATAAGACTTGTCACCTAGCAGTGTCAATGTACTTCATGAATGCCGCCAGAACATTATCCATTTTTGTGGTGCAGTCTCTAAAATCATCAGGTGTCAAACTAGATATTCCAGTTTTGGCATTGGTATGGATAATGCTCAGATTTTTGAATTGACAATAAGCAAGGACCTTTGTGCATGACCATGGACAAGACGCTTTGGGACGGGCTGTCAATCCACCAATGTTATTGGATCCTAGCATGACATTCTTTGTACATGTGAAGAATGGTCCTAGGACCCTGGCAAGGTTGTTTAAGTTGGCAAATAGTACCAATCCCTTTCCATTGACCTGCATTTTCACAAACAAAAGTGAACCCCCCATCTACAATGTTGAAACCAATCTGTGGTGTAGTGGAAATACCAAGTTCAGAGTGTTTTCTCTTATACATGGGATTTCCATGAAGGTAATTCAAATCTGAGCCCCCAATATTGCTTGAATAGCTGTCCTTGACACCTTGATAGATGGTTGCAAAAAAAAACTCCTCGCCCAAGAGTCCACGTCCCTGTCGGGTCATTGGCAACAAGTTCTCTGAACTTTTCGCTAAACCCCTCCAAAAGTGAGGTGTCAACTGGAAATGAGGGAAACACCAATCCCCCAAGAGGCCGTCCAACCATATGTTGGGCTTGGTAACCCCTTGCATCATGGGTTACTCTTTGCAAATTGGCCGCAGGCATCACATGTTTGAGAGACTCATATACAAAGTTGTTGTATATGTACTCTTGATCAGCAGCATATTCAGTCATGTGGTTGGAGAAACATAGATACGTCCTGGATCTCTCAGATTGAGCAATTTGAATGTTACCAAATGATCCTAGATCCCGTGTGGTAGGCAATCCATTTTGTACTGCAGAAACAGGGACATCCAACTAAAATAAACTATTTAGGGGTCCATGTATAAATAAATGAGATCCACACCTGCTTTTGCATTTGAAACTTGAAGTCTGATTTTGGTAGAATATTGATTGTACCCTTGCCAATCACCTTTTCAAAATCTTTGTGGTAAGAAAAACAGGAATCAATATCAGCCTGATGTTCCATATCCATTCTTATGCTCTCTGCAGTTGTAAACTTGACCAAACATGGTACTTTCTTGATGAGGATAGCAAAGAATGTTTTCAACTTATGTTGAGGGTGCTCCATGGACAAATTTAATAAGTATTTATCGTTGGCAGTAGGTACAATTCCAGCATTTTGATACTTGTCTGCATAAATCTCAACACTGGTTTCAAAGGATTGTGTGGGATTAACGGTTGATGCTGCATCCACTAATTTACTAATTTCTTGATCTCTCCAATCGGAATCATGGAGTTCTGCCAACAGTGTTCCAACAGTTGTGGTTTTTAAATGGTCCCACTCTTCTTGAATCTCATCAGGCAATGACTCACGCAAGTGTTCAAATCTGTCACTTTGACTTTGATAATACTGATGATCTATGAACAAGGCACTTGTAGGCCCAGAAGTCGAGTCTAACGTATAGTCTGGAAACAATGTCTTAGGATGTTGGAAAGATGCGATGGTGCATACCTGTCATGTCATCTCCAGCGTTGTAAGTGTATCCTTCTTCAATTGATGGAGTGGGCGACGCTGTATGTCTGTTTCTGTTTGGGGAATAGCTGCCTGAGTTTGCAACATCACTCTCAGCTGCATTGTTTTGTTGTTGGTTGGCTGCTTGCAACTGATTTTAGGTACTTACCACGAGACTGTCCAGCATCGCTGTTGGAATCTGTAGTTATTCAGCATTTATTTGAAGTCACACAAGTTTGACTCACCATGGTCTGAATCAATATCCATGTGACTGCCAAAATCTGATTACTTGTTAGTATTTCATAGACATGCCTTTTGGCTCACCTGTATGAGGGTTGATGGTACCACCATTCAACTCTAGATCAAAATCCATGTATCTGTCAAAACCTGATTCCTAGTTAGTAAATCTAACCCTAACTTTCGGCTCACCGTCCAATGCTCTGTGAGAGTCAAGGGTACCGCCATTTGACTCTGACTCAAAATCCATGTCACTGTTAAAGTCTGATTCCTAGTCAGTATAGTATTTCTAACCCTGAATTTTGGCTCACCGTCCAAATCTCTAAGATTGTTGAGGATACTGCCATTCATCTTGTTTGAACTTTTTGGGGTTTTCTAGTTAGGGGTTGCTGTTTAGCTTTGCTAGTAGTTGGCTTTAGATGCGCAGCTTTTCTTGTTTTTATTTGCTATATTTGTTTCATCAGTTTTAATTTATTTCAAACCCCGCTGACAATTCTTGAATCTTAATCAGAGCTCTGCAGACCTACACACCACCCCTTTGCTCTACTAAAAACACAAGTGCTACACCGTTTTTTTCTTCTTCCCCTTGTCCACAAAATGTATGCATAAATCTCCCGCAAACACCTACAGTTTCCACACTGCAAAGATAGCAAGGACCAGGAATAAGATCAGTTGACCTTTGGCGGGGTTGCCGAGGATGTTGACGGACTTTATTCAATTGAAGAACCATGGGGGGTTCTTGGGTTCCACGACGTCGCTTTGCACCATCTGCTCCCTTTGAATCTGCTTTGCGTGTAAGTGGTTTTCCAGTGACTGAACTATCCAATGGTCTATTTGTCATCTATATCGACAATGTTAGATAAAAACCAAAGCACATCACAGAAGGACACCAATACCATTTTCTGAAGGGGATTACTTCCCTTTCTTGTAGCCGAAGAATAGGCCTCGTCATTTTTTTAGTGGCCACCCTCAATTGGCTATGATTTAGTCTTCTTCAGTGTCAACGTATGGCGTACCTCTGTTATTGACTGTGAGATTGACAAGTCAGGCTAATATGAAAAGATTCAGTTGTCTTCAATTCCAAAAGAAATGACCCACAT